GAGAGGAGAATGGAGGAGAAGGGATTGCAGCGTGGCCATCCCCCCTGGGGGGTGATTTCTCACTTTCTGTCTCTATGTCTCTCTCTGTCTGACTGGCGAGCACACGTGCCCTATAGCAAAAACCTCTCAAAAAAAAAAAATCATGCAGGGCACATGTGTGTGCACACCCAAGATCCCAGGAGGAGAATGGAGAAGGGATTGTGGTGTAGCCATCCCCCATGGGGGAGGGGGGTGATTCCTCACTTTCTCTCACACTGTCTCTCCCTCACTCTGGTGAGTGCACACACCCTAAGGCAAAAACTTCTTTAAAAAAAATAGGTAGTCTGGATTACTCTTGAAAATTGTTTCACCATCTCAGCTGAGAATGAGGTCTAGTTTATAGCATTGTTTTGAATATAGAGCAATACAAAAAAGTAATGAATAGTGTTTGCAAATAGTAACTAACATGTTTGGCATAGCTAAGTACTTGGTCATGAATTAATAAATCCCCTTAACATTTTGGAAAAAAAAAAAAGGAAATCCATAATCAGGAACTAGTGGATCTAAGGAAACTTCCTCTCACAGTTTTGCTTGTTAATGAACATATAATTGAGTTCCCATTAACTGACTTGTCTTCATGTGTGTGTTTTGAACAGGGTTACAAAGAACCTAGGAAATACATTGCTGCTCAAGGTAATTTATTGACAGTCCAATATTCTTTTCAAAAAACTATTTTACAGCACTTAGAAAATATTTTTATCAACTTGTGTTTGTTTATATCCTAGGTCCCAGGGATGAAACGGTTGATGATTTCTGGAGGATGATCTGGGAACAGAAGGCTACAGTTATTGTCATGGTCACTCGATGTGAAGAAGGAAACAGGGTAAAAATGCAGAAGATTCATAGGGCAGAGATTGGAAAAAAAGAAAAAAAACAAGTGTTGAATTAGGTTTTCAAAAGCTACATATACACGTGGACTTTTAGAAATTTGTGCAAAATGATGGGACCAGCAGATGGCATAATGGTTACATTGCTGGACTCCCATACAGTTGATCACAGTTCAAGTACTGAACCCGGTGGCTCAAAATTCATGCCGAGTACATGTGTATGTATGCCCAAAATCCCAAGAGAAAAATGGAGGAGAAAAAACTGAGGCATGGCAATGCCCCTATGTGGTGGTCTCTCTCTTTCTGTCTCTCTGTCTCTCCAGTGAGTGCATGTGCCCTATAGCAAAAATCTCTCAAAAAATGCTTATAGAAAATGTAATTAGTGTAAATTTATTTTGAAAAAGTAATTTTTGAAATTCATGCATAATTCTTTCATAATATACACTTTCCATAAACTTTTTGAAAATCCTGCCTATGATCTCAAAGACTAAAACAGTTTCTATTATGACAAGTGTTAACATTTGATTTAAAATTTATATTTACATTAAAATCTTTTGTACCAAAAATAAAATTTGTACAAATGTAAATAGATGTCCATCTGGATAAAATTTAAATGCTTCTGTTTAATTGCTAGATTTTATTTGATTTCTATTTCTTTGCAATATTCTTGTAAGTTCAGTGCATTTTGAGGGGCAAACGTCGCAAGAACTTATGAATACTCCAATGTTCCAAACAAAACTGCCCTGAGGCAGATAAGTGGTAACTCAGGGAAAGTGACCTTAAGAGAAGAACCTGGGACCAGCAGTTGACATAATGACTATGTCGCTGGACTCACACGTAGTCAACCGTAGTTCAGGTCCCAGACCTGGTGACTTAAACTAACACTCGGTGTGAGTGCGTGCATGCTCAAGATCCCAAGAGGAGAACAGAGAAGAAGGGATTGGCATGGCCACCCCCTCTGGGGAGTGATTTCTCACTTTCTGTCTCTCTGTCTTTCTGGTGAGCGCATATGCCCTATAGCAAAAACCTCTCCAAGAAATAAATAAAATAAGAGAAGAACCATCTCTGTTCCCTAGTCTGAAATTAGCCACAATCACATCCTTCCTGTTGAGCATTGAGTATGTTCTCTTTTAATAAACAGCCAAGAGACCAGTAGATGTCTGGTTACATCACAAGACTCCCATTGTAGTCAACTGTGGTTTGAGTCTAGGATCCAGTGGTTTAAAACTCCCACTAGGCACATGTGCATGTGTGCCCAAGATCCTGAGAGGAGAATGGAGGAGAAGGGATTGCAGTGTGGCCACCCCCCTCCCCAGGGGTTCATTTATTTTTTTCTGTCCCTCTGTCTCTCCAGTGAGCACATCTGCACTATAGCAAAAACTTCTCTCTCAAAAAACAAAACAAAACAAAACAAAACCACCCAGCAAAGACTGGGAAGATTGTTCTTCTGCTAAATGTGTGAAGGAAATCATGCAGGGCATTGTAATATTATCACATGTGACATAACTTAGGTGTACATGTTGAAGAGAGACTATACAAATGTTTTAAGGACTTTAGATGAATACATTTTGGGGTTTCTAAAAAAAGTTAATAGAAATTTGTTTAAATGAGAAACTGGAATCATTAATGATTTCTAACATCTAGAACAAGTGTGCAGAATACTGGCCATCTATGGAAGAGGGCACTCGCGCTTTTGGAGATGTTATTGTGAAGGTCAATGAGTACAAGAGGTGTCCAGACTACATCATTCAGAAACTGAGCGTCACAAATGTGAGTTTGTTTTCTTGTATACTTTTACTTTGATCATTTTTAGTGCAATTATGGAATATTAAATATGATCATTTAGAATATACCTAGAAAAAATGTTTTAATGACCTGTAAGAAAAAGAATTAGGTTAGAACCAACCCATAAGCCAACAGGATCAATCTAAATAACTGATCAGAGAAATGTTTATCTCAGTCAGTCATGCGTACCTATTATGCTGTCACCACTGAAGAATTAAAAAAAAAAAGGGACCGGTTGGTGGCATGGTGGTTAAGGATGCTGGACTCCCCTATAGCCAACTGCGGTTTGAGTCCTGGACCTGGCGGCTTGCTTTCTCGCTTTTTCTCTCTCTCTTTCTCTCTCTCTCTCTCACTCTCGCTCTCACTCTGTCCCTATCTGGACAAATTAAAATAAATAAATAAAGTTAAATAAAAATAATTCTTATAAAAAAAGAAGAAGGATCTACTAAACATACTGATTAGATGATTTAGTTAATAAATGAATAAACAAACAGTTCTCATGCTCGGTGGATTTTACCATTATGGAAACATTTATGAAAATGGCAAAACCAGAGCAGAGTAGAGGAAGGTTAAAGGTTGACACTGTGGTAGAGCAGAATGTTTAGTTGAGAAAACCCAGGTCAGTGAGGTCTTAGGTAATAGTAGTGTGGAGTTCCTTATCCATACATTTACAGAAGAAATCTAGAAGAGGCAAGTCTATAAATACAGAAAGTGGAGTAGTTGCCCGAGGAGCCCCAATGAGGTGTGGTCACTAATGGGTGAAGACTTTTGTTTGTAGTGACAAAAATGTTTCATACTTAGTTCTTGGTGATGGCAGAACTACTCTGAGACTATAATAAAAACACTGAATTGGACATTTGACATAACTAAACTTTATAACTTTATGCTATATTTGAACAGAGCTGTTAGAAATATGCAGGACTTGGAGCCAGTAGGTGGCATGGTGGTTAAAAGCGCTGGACTCCCACTTGACCAACCATGGTTCAAGTCCTGGACCTGGTGGCTTCCTTTCTCACTTTCCCTCTTTCTCCCTCTCTCTCTCTCTCTGATCAAAGTCGAAAATAATAACAATAATAAATAGTTAAATAAAAAATAATTCTTAAAAAAATATGCAGGACTTGGGCCAGTCTATGGCATGGTGATTAAAGTGGTTGGAACCCACATGGCCAACTGCCTAGTTCATGTCCCAGACCAATAACTTGTGTGTACAGGCAGGTCCATGTCCACACATGTCCAAAATCGCAAAAGGAGGGAGAGATGGAGGAGGAGGGAATGTGGTGTGACCATCCCCCATAGGGGGTGCTTTCTCTGTCACTGTTTTTTTCTCTCTTTCTGGTGAGCACACATACACTCTGCAATTTATTATTATTTTTTTTTAATTCAGGTCTTTGTATAGAAGGTTGAAGTTTTCCTCTGAATGCTGTTTGTTGGAGGTCTTTCAGTAATATACATTTTATTTTTATGTGATGCAGATAGATTTCCTACCGGGAAAAAAAAAAAAAAAAAAAAAAAACAAGAACCAACATAGATTACTCTGTACTTCTCACAAGCTATCCTGGGCTTCCATGGCATCACTATGGGTTGCTATAGGATAAGCCTACTGATAGCTCATGCCAAATACATGAGCCCGTGGTCATGGGTGATCTGTGGCAGTCAGTGCATGTTTGGTTACATTTCTTAGTCTGGAGTTAGTGTTTATAAACTACTCAGTCATTTCCTCTCTGACAATTACAACCATTTTTTAATTTTTTAATTATTTGTAAAAGTTTCGTTTATTTCTTTCTTCTGATATCGATGTGTATATAATTCTTCTTCATACCTGGTCAATGAATTATGACTGATGCTCCTTCTGGTGGTTACCTGGAAATGGAGACAGACATGAACCACAGTCTGAGGCTAACATTCCTCAGTTCTCTCTCTACTTTATAGGTTGATAATTCTACCAGGAGATGCCCTAAAGAATATTGTGGTAGCCAAACAATTAAATCAGATTTTCCTCACAGAAATAATACTGTTTGCTGGGCTACCAAGCCATGGTATTTCAAACAGCCACGAAAATGACTGTTTATTTTATATCCTTCCACACATACATCCAAATTCCTACACACCCACCCATTTTTAGGCTGTTTATTTTTGCCTTTTTTTGGAGGGGGGGGCTACCCACCTTCCCTGCCTCCCTTCCAGGCCAGCTGTTACTTGCTGGTCAGTACATGCAAATCCTGTATTGTATCTCAATGACTTGATAATAATTGGAGACAAAATGCAATCATGGATGAAAAAGTTTATAGGATTTCTAAAGACTGAAGGACCCTTTAGAGTAATTTAGTTTTGTATGAATTTATTGTGCTAGTCTTTTCTTCCATTTACTTATGTTATATAGTTTGCTTTGAGTGGGGGGAGGAAAGAACATCTCAAAGAAAATAATATCTCTTGACTAGAAAAAAGAAAAAGCCACCGGAAGGGAAGTGACTCACATTCAGTTTACCAGTTGGCCGGACCACGGAGTGCCTGAAGATCCTCACTTGCTCCTCAAGCTGCGAAGGAGAGTGAATGCTTTCAGCAACTTCTTCAGTGGTCCCATCATCGTGCACTGCAGGTAAAGAAAGGACTAGAACAGTCTGTACCAGACCCATTTAAGTCCTGACCTCTGGCTCTTGGTGACATCTGCCCCTTTGGCAGTTGCTACTTCATGAAACATCTATGAGGAGAAAAATACATTCTTTACTCTGCTTCATGCTTGATGATTCTCAATCATTCCTCTGCCAGGATCATGTCTTCACTCATTTTGTTTTGTCAGTGCTGGTGTTGGGCGCACGGGTACCTACATTGGAATTGACGCCATGCTGGAGGGCCTGGAGGCAGAGAACAGGGTGGATGTTTACGGTTATGTTGTCAAGCTAAGGCGACAGAGATGCCTGATGGTTCAAGTGGAGGTATGATCCAACCCATCTGATCTTGGGCAGTTATTATCAATTTTGTTTCTGGATATAAAGTTTCTCATAGTAGTAGTGCTTTTTAAAGAAATTCACATTTTTTTCACAACTTTGAACCTGTGGGTGAGACTAGTTTTCTCTTAATTTCCTGAAAACTAAAGCATGTGTTAAGTACCAGTCATAGAAGGATTTTGCATTAGTGCCTAAAAATGCTGTGGATGAAGGACTGTAAAATATATGAAAAAAATCAAAATAATGAAATACCATTATACACGTCAGACTGGGAGAAAAATAAAAACACTAAAAACAGCTTTGAAAGCATCTCCTAAAACTGAAACTGGAGAGACAGCATAAGACAGGGATTCAGAGCCTGGTTCTTGGGACTAGTTTTCCCAGTCATCTGTAAAATGGAGGTAATGATAACACTACCTCACAGATTTCCAACCAAATGGTAGCATGGGTACCACTGGAACCTGCTACCCCTCAGTAACTGCAAGTGATGGCTGTTATTAGAAAGCTCTGCACTTTCCCCTGCAGCATGACATGTGCGCACACACCTGAGAGAGCACTGACAAATGCCCACAACTAGAAACATGTGTAAGAGTGCTCACTGCAGGCCAGCAGGTACATGGAGGTACAAGCAGCTGGTCCCACATGGCCAACAGTGGGACTGGAATCCTAGACCTGCCATCTTAAAAAAACATGCGGGATGTATGTATGTGTGCATGCCCAAAATCCCAATTGGAGAATGGAAGAGAAGGAATCGTGGCATGGCCACCCACCTGGTGGGTTATTTCTCACTTTCTCACTGCCTCTCTGTCTCTCTCCAGCAAGCACACATGCCCTAAAGCAAAAAAAAAAAAAAATGCTTATTGCACTCTGTATTATTATATAAAAAAGAAGTGGAAACACCCCAAATATATACCAATAGGGGCAAACAAAGTGTGGACATGTGAATTCTTTAAGAATGACTGCCATGCTGCAGTGGATAGGAATAATCTATCGAATCTATTGATAGATCTGTATTAATCTATGCAGACAGATGTGTAGATGAATACTTTGATTGAATAAGACTATATCAGGTGAAAGATACAGGATACAGTTTATGTATTATTTAAGAAAACACACAAAACTGTATGATATTTCTATTTTTATAGGTGCCTTTATGTTACTGTAAAAATAAAAAACAGATTAAAAACAGATTATTGATCAGGAAAAACACCAAACTTTTTCTTGTGGAAAAATAAAGCCAAGTGGAAGGACACAGTCAAAGTCAGGGAGCTAGAATTGGTAGCTAAAGTGGCTTATCAGAAATATCTCATATCTTTAAAAATGCTTGATTCAAAAAAATTAAAAATTTAAGAGTTACTATAGATGAGTTTGGCATATGACATTCTGAAAAATTATTTTCTCTATTTGAAAAAGTTTTTAAAATATAAAATGTGTTCTTTGGAATATCAACTTGTTTTTTCTCTCAGCTAGACTATCAATCTTAACTCTCAGTGGTTAAAGGCTCAATGAAAAAGCTTCCAGTACTGGGAGTACCATGTGTCTGAAGGTTTTCCTAAAGACTCTTGATCCTATGCACCTTGTTTCTCAGATTGAGGAACTTCAGAACAGGATGTTCTATTCTTGTGATGAGAGTTGGGTTATTGACAAAGATCTCATTATTTTCAATGAAAAGAAAACCACTTTGTTTTAGCTAACTTTTCATCAACGAAAAGGGCTTTTCTTGCCCTGTCCCCCCACCAATATATATCAGGTAAGAATGGGGGCTGTAAGACAGTGGTAAGAATGGGGGCTGTGGGCCTGCATGAGGCATGGTGGTTAAAGGCACTGGATTCCCACATGGCCCACCATGGTTTGAGTCCCAGACTTGGCGGCTTGCTTTCTTGCTCTCACTTTCTCTTTCTCTCTGGTCAAATTAAAAAATAATAACAACAATAACAACAAATAGAATTAAATACATAAATAATTCTTTAAAAAAAAGGAATGGGGGCTGTAAGACAGTGGCACAATGGTAATACAACTGGATTTACATGAGAAGGTCCTAGGCTCATATCCCAGGGACTTCCCCACTTCATGCTAAGGCTGGGGGTGAATTGCACCAAGGATACTGGTTGAAGGTGTCTAGCTCTATATCTCTCTCTTTATCTCTTTCTCTCTCATGGAAGAAGAAAAGAAACTTAAAATAATATTACATACACACATATATACATATACATATGTATATATACATATGTATATGTGTGTGCATATATGTGTGTGCGTGTGAAACTCATTATATATATATATATATATATATATATATAAAATCAGTGATTTGACTTACTGACTTACTAGTCACTGAAGAAAGTAGCAGATAATGTCTTTTAACTTTTAGGAATAGGATAAACACCATGCAATGCAGATAGCATGTGGATAATCTATTTGGCAAGTTGTTGACTTTATTTATTTATTTTTTTTCTGGAAAGATAGTCCACAGAGGAATTTGCTCACATTTCAGAGAACTGTAAGAGATGACTTTCAGAATATTCCATTGTTATAGCTATCAATTTTCTTCTGCTATACATTGTCTCACTGTGAGCATATTTACGGGGGTAAGTACTTCATTGAACTGTGAGGTAGAACTCTTAAGTGATCAGTTAATTGCCTGCATTTCTCCTTGAAATCCTAGGCCCAGTACATCCTGATTCATCAGGCTTTAGTGGAATACAATCAGTTTGGAGAAACAGAAGTCAGCTTGTCTGAATTACACTCATGCCTACATAACATAAAGAAGAGAGACCCACCCAGTGAGCCATCTCCACTGGAGGCTGAATTCCAGGTAACAATAGCGATGGCAATAATAGGTAACTTGGCGGGCTCTCTGTTCTCCAGGTGCATTCTACGTGCTGGGCATGGATCTTGCATGAGGTCCTCACCATAACCAAGCAAGCACAGATGAGCAACCTAAGGCACAGAGAGCTTTAAAGAAGTGCCTGAATTCACTCAATTATTATGTGGGAGACTTGCTTAAATGCACAAATCTTACGCTCCAGCAAACACTTTTAACCATTCCTCATTAGGCTGGTATAAATAGTGTCAAAATAACAGTATATAGCCACAGACTTGGTCTGCCAAGGGCAGTGTACCATCTCACCTTGAAAACCTGCATCTGGTTTTGGTTTGTAACGGAAATAATTAGAGGAGTTTATGAGTACTTAGGAAGTTGGACTGGCTGGAGCTGGTAGACAGACACTAAGGATAAGTACATGTGTCCTAACCTATTTATTAGGCCATTAATTGCAAGCTTACCTAGGATGTAGTTCCCTGTGATTTCAGAGAGTTGGCATAGCTGTCCTCAAATTACTCAGCTGTTGGGGCGACTTTTTGTAACTCTTCCACTTATGAAGTCCACTTTACTGACTTTCTGTAAACCTCCTAACTAGTCAATTCAGAGTTTCATAAGAACAGAAATGTGTTTTTAATCAGAGGCAGAACCATTTCATGTTTAGGATCAAAGTGGGGCGGAGTCAGGGGTGGAGGTGGAACACCTACTAATCACCAAGTAACAGCCCCCCAGGAGGTCCGTCCTTATACTGGAAGAGCTGGCAGGCAAGGGGGAGTCCTAAACAGAGGGGTGTTTTATTGTCATTTGTTGCTCTGTTAGCTGATAAAGTAACCATATTCAATACACTAACCCTATTAAAGCACATACACACAATAGGCTGCTTAGGGACACATTCATTCTGAACACATGTATGTATGGTTCCTAAAGTAGTGTTTGTTCACTGAACAAATACGACGGAGTTTCTGCTCTGTGCCAAATACAACTATAAGCACGAGTATCAAAGTGATTTGCAAGCGGACATGGGGAGAAAGCATGAGAAGGTGTGACTCAGAGCACATGGCATAGTTCCCACCCTGATGGAAGTATGAGGGGTGAAATTCAAGTTGACTGGGAGATTTCATGGTGGGAAGTTGAGGCAGTTCTTGCCTGATCACCTCTTATTTCTCTATTGAGTTGAATAATGAGGGGTACAGGAGTGATTAGGAGAGAGGCCGTTAATTTTGGGGGAAGGGAAGAAGATAAGAGACAGTTATCTCAAAAGAAGAGTGCAATCTTACTCTTAGAAGTAAGATTGTTGCAATTTATTGTTTGATCATTTGACATTTAAGTTATAAATTTAAAGAGGTATCAATCATTTCACTGTGTTATTTTCTACAGTAACATCAACTCGGTGAATAGGAACTGTGTATGCAGAGACCCTTACGGTAACCAGTTAGCTCAGATGGAGAAAGTAGTAAAAACAAGATGCTGAAGAGAGTGATGAATTGCAGAATGCTGAATTGAAGTTAGAGAATAAGCAACTAAAAAGAAAAGGGGTACTTTTCAATAATAGGAATGGTAGAAGTCATATTTAGAGTGGTGCATCTTTGCAATTAACACTACAAATGTAGAATGGTAAGAGGATGACAGAGGAGGGAAGGGAAAGGTCACAGGAGATGAAGAAACTAAGAAATGAGGAGACGAGACTGTTGGCAGACCACCCTTGTGGATGTTGAAGGAACCAAGAGGAATGAGCAGATCTCAAGGAGAACCCATAACAAGCCAAATCTAAAACTATGGATAGATGGGCGGAGTGATCCAGCAGTAGATCCCTGACACCTCAGAGTGGAAGGCGGTGATAAGAAGGTGGTATAGTGTGATGGCAGGAAAATCAAATTCATTGAGATTTTTTTAAAAGCAATGAATAGAAATGGTTTGCAATGGAATCGCCTAAGAGAGCACTTACCTTTTCTTGAAACTGTGAAGTAAATGAAGTATATGTATGTGTGTGGTAGGAGAGAATCAACTTTTCCTGAAGAGAGCCACAATATTCTTGGTAGTGTCCTCAAGTGACATCCAAGTTACATTTGATGCAACAGAAAAAAAAAAAAAGGTGACAAGGTGAGGGGACTGTTGGTACATGAGCAATTAAAAGCAAAAATAATTCAGGGGCCAGTCAGTGGTACAGTGATTAAAGTGGCTGGATCCCATATGGCCAACTATGCAGTTTGGGTCCTGGTCCCAGTAGCTTAGAAAACACGCCAGGTGTGTGTATGCAGGCCCAAAATTCTGAGAGGAGAATGGAGAAGATGAGATTGTGGCACAATCATCCCTACTGGTAGCCATTTTTTGCTCTCTCTCTATATATATACCTCTCCAGCAAGCACACGCTCACTGTAACAAATTTTAAAAATAAATAAGTAAAAAGGAAAAATTCAGAAGCAAACCTAAAAATTGTGAAGTATAGGGATTGTATGCAAATTTCACAAGAATTAATGAAATGCTTTTGTAGAAGGGAATTTATGCCAATAATTAATTAAGCCACTATTTGCATTTTAAAGGCATTTTCCATTTTGTTTCCTCAGAGACTTCCTTCATATAGGAACTGGAGAACACAGCACATTGGAAATCAAGAAGAAAATAAAAGTAAAAACAGGAATTCTAACATCATTCCATGTATGTAGTTTATTTTTATTTTTTGTGTCAGATAACATTAAGGGTTTGGGGAAGACTTGTTGAATATGAGATACACATACACCAATGATTCTGCAGCTACAATATGAAGAAGTTAACAGGCTGCTAAAATTTTAGTTATTGTTGAGTACTTTTAACACCAAATTTCTGCAGTGGACTTTAGAGTAGAGACTGTATTCATTGTTTTTGTTCTACCAATTAGCTCAGAAATGGGTTGTCAGAAAGATGAAACAGTTGAAGCTGGGGAAAAGCAGGTCAATTCCCTTTATCATATCTCTCTCATCTTAAGTTTATTTCAGTTATTTATTCTAAGGCCATTGCAAAATAGCAAAAATTACACTCACTCATTATCTTTATGTTTTCTTTTTATTCCTTATATCTGGAAGGTTGAAAATAAGTGGAGAGTACTCTATAAATTGTCAATAATCAAATTTAACAGGTCAAAATATGCATAATTTTCAATATGTGAATTCTGCTGCTTAAGCTTATTGATAGGATCTCAACTGATATACTCTAATTTTATTTAGCTGTATATACTAAAATTAGTACTGATAAAATATAACCCAAGTTAATAAGCTAGACAACCAAACAAATCAGATCAGTGCATGGTAGACCTAGTTAATTTCTTCAGAAGTCCTTCTGACTATAGTTTAAAATATAGAAATGGAATTGATGTTGATGTCATTAAACAGATCACTTGACTAGGTTATTATAAATTAAAGAAATTGGAAACCAGTAAGCACTTTTGGACTAAATAATTTTTTAGATGAAACAATTAATTTGAGATTCCTATTTCATATATATATATATATATGATGTATATATACATAGGTATATAAATAAAAAAGGAAAAGTTCAGAAGCAAACCTAAAAATTATGAACTATAGGGAGCATGTCTATAGGGATCATATGCAAATTTTACAAAAATTAATTAAATGCTTTTATAATTAATGACATTTTTATTAATTTACTTTTATTTTCATTTTATATTTATTTTTAATTATTGAATGCTTTATGTATATTATATATTTGAATGAAATGCTTTATATATAATGAAATGAAATGCTTTATATATATAATGAAAAGAAATGGCATATATATACATATATATGCACACACATATATATACAGGATATATATATTATAGATACATAGATAGATATGATAGATATATATCATAGAGATATAGATATAAATCACCTCCCAGCGGGGATGGCCATGCCACAATCCCTTCCCCTCCATTCTACTCCTTGGATTTTGGGGACATACACACAAAGCTGGTGTGATTTTCAAGCCACTGGGTCTAGGACTCGAACCACAATAAGCCATGTGGGAGTCCAGTGCCTTAACTACTACATGGCCTGCTAGCTCCATAAGCTCTCTCTATATTTTTAAACATATCAAGTAGAATGATGATATTCTTTGGAAAACTTAAGTATATGTATCAAAGACTGAGTAGTCAGATGGAATGTTGTCATAACTATTTGCTGTTTAACAAATATTCCCCACCCCCTTTTCTTTCTGGAACTCTTCTGGGGCATTCTTCTTAGACTTTAAAAAACAAAAACACTTTGTTAATCATCAAGCACTGAATGTTGTGTAGGCTCTCATTGTTTAGATCAATTAATTTATAAAATGCAATCTATCTCTTCTGAATTACTTTTTAATGTTTACATGATATCAAGTAGAAATTTGTTTTCTTTAAAGAACTTACTACTAATGTATGTTACTACTTAGATGACTTTAACAGAGTGCCACTTAAATATGAACTGGAAGTGAGCAAAGAAAGTGAACATGATTCAGATGAGTCATCTGATGAGGAAAGCGACTCAGAAGAAGCCAGCAAATACATCAATGCATCTTTTATCATGGTAAGTACTTGAACTTCCAAAGCCCAGGGTCCAGCCCTTCTAAAAACACATCTGTTGTATTAGGGCCATTCATTAGGTGATTTTATTGGGTCATCGAAAAAGTCATGATGCATTTGGCATTAAAATAACTAGAAAAGGGACCAGCAGTTAGCATAATGGCTATGTCGCTGGCCTCTCATGTAGGTGACTGAAGTTCGAGTCCTGGGGACCAGCAGTTAGCCTCACGCTGGGTGGCTTAAACTCATGCTGGGTGCATGTGCGTGCGTGCCCAAGATCCTGAGAGAATGGAGGAGAAGGGACTGAGGCATGGCCATTCCCCCGGGGGGGGATTTCTTGCTTTCTGTCTGTCTCTCTCCGTCTTTCTGGCAAGCACACCCGTCCTATAGCAAATGTCTCCCCCCGACCAAAAAAAAAAAAAAAAGAAAAAAACATAGAAAAATATGTCATAACTTTTTCAACCACCCAATATTAATGAATTAAGGAGTGATAAGCTTGGTTGTATTGCAGTTGATTGACACAAAAGTTTCATTTTTTTAAGTTTATTATTTCTCCTATGAGTGAATGAGACAAAGGAGAAAGACAGAGAGACAGCACCCTCTACAAAGCCTGACACTGCAGTCCACCCCCCAGCCTCAGCCACCCCTAAATCTTAGGCAACGATGGCCCTGGCAAACTTAGGGAGGTCTCCAGAGGCGAACCCAGAACACTCCCATTGGGTCAGCCTTGCAGAGTGTCATGTTTTACCACTGTGCCACCGTTCAGACCACAGAAGTTACCATTTTAATACTATATTTTAACTTAATAAAATACTTTAAAATATCAAAGCCTAATGAACTAATACAAAGTGACATGATTCTAGTGGTTATATTTTGTGACACTTAGGATTATGGCTATATTAATTTTTAAAATAATGAAATTTGAGCAAATACATGTGTTTGAACATGTCTATAATTACTCAAATACCCAACGTGTATGCAAATTCAAATTCGTATCTTTATATAGTTAAAAACTTTTCATTCAGATTAGCTGAATTATGAGTGCGTCTGTGCCACATACCTATTTTATTTTTTAATAGAGATTTCAACCAAAGAAACTATGGTCATTAAGTGCATACTTATTGCATATACACTAAGGTGAAGTTCTTTCTTTTCCAAATTTTCCTGAAGCACACATTCATAGGGTACAAGCCTGATTTTAAGCTATGGTAAGAATGTATAGACACCAATTAAAGTAGAAATACGATGAAAATAATTTGAAATGCTTATGTAATTCCTCTATATAATCACACTGACCTTTATAGAGGAGAAAATGGTATTTTTTGGAAGGGGATATTTGTTCATTGTACAAGATAAACACATGCTCATCTTGATTTTACATTACTAGCTAAAAATTATCATTATCTGAGTAAGTATTTTACATACAGATATTGTTATGCCTACGACTCTTAATAGTTTTATGGAATAGCATTAATATCAAACTAAGTGACTATCCTGCAAGGTTATTTTGAGAATCTACTGCTCTCTGTTCAGTTAGTCATAGTAACAAAGTCCCACGCTTTTGTTCTGCAGAGTTACTGGAAACCTGAGGTGATGATTGCTGCTCAGGGGCCACTAAACGAGACCATTGGTGACTTCTGGCAGATGATATTCCAAAGAAAAGTCAAAGTCATTGTCATGTTGACTGAGCTGAAGCATGGAGACCAGGTTTGTATTTCTGAGAATCTGTTTTGTTCTGTTTTATTTATTAAGCCTTTCTGTCGTAAAATACCATTCTTCATTCTTGGATTATGTGCTTTGTCACTATCCCCATGTCCTTCTGATCTTCTCGGCCTCACAAGCCCACTTGTTTGGTCTTACCATTTCCATCCAGGTGCTGGCCTTCATCCTCCTGTGTCTGGATTCTGATAGTCTTAAGCATTTGCTCCTCACCAACATACATTCTTCTTTAAAATAGTGTGTGGAATTTTATGGACAGATTCCAATTTTAGAATGGAATTAATAATGTCCATTTAATAGAAACAAGAGGGAGAGGAGAAATCAGCTCTCCAAGTACTTTAAATGGCAAACAGAATGCTTGCATAGAAGTTGTCAAACCATGATTTTTTCTTTTCTAGGAAGTCTGTGCTCAATATTGGGGAGAAGGAAGACAGACATATGGAGATATAGAAGTCGATACAAAAGAGACAACCAAATCTTCAGCTTATACCCTCCGCGTATTCGAACTGAGACATTCTAAGGTAAATAAACAATTTCAGGAGTGTATCTCTTTGATGTAGTTGATCTGATCACAAAACTGATTCCTCCATGCAAGTGAAGCCTCTATCTCTATAATAGTTTAGAATGAAATGTTTAAGTTACTTAAATAAAGGGAATTGTGAAGAAAATGGAACTATCTAATTTTTATGCAGGCTGAACCTCACTAGAGTTAATGCTCCCTTCCCTTCCGATTTTAGAGGAAAGAGCCTCGAACGGTGTACCAGTACCAGTACACTAACTGGAATGTGGAGCAGCTTCCTGCTG